AAACGAACACAGCTAAAAATGCAGTTACATGACTCTATCTTTGCACCTATAGGCACCAGTGGTGTGCTCTATGTCTGGCACCGTTTTGTTAGCTCAGCAGCCTCTTACCAATCATAAAAGGTCAGAAAAGTAAAAAGGCCTCAGTTAACAATAGCATTTACTTTCAGCTACTGCAATAAAGGGTTGAGTTCATTCAACGTGATTTAAGAAGACTTGCCACACAAAAAGCTTCAAAGTAAAGGGTGAAAAGGGAAGTCGATATCTTAACACACACTACATTTTGATATTCTTTGATGGTTTACTTTCACTATATGAGAATAAGTCATTGTCATGTCATTCGTCCCTGAATAATTACACCAATGACCCCAAGAGAAAAGAAATTAGTGTTTTTATGGGTAATTTGAATAATAAAATGTACGTGACACTTTAGCATATTCTGTTGTAATTGCAGTACATTAACGCTCCAGAGCACGATTAATAGTGTTTTGGAATACAGAGAATAATAATAGAATATGAAATTCCAATATGAAAGAACTTAAACCAGTTCTACAAGAATTTGTCATTTTTAATCCCTCACGGCCAAAGGCATTGTTTATGGGTTGTCTGGTTGTCTGTATGTTTATGTCTTCGTATGTCCATTTCTCTGATTGCGATATCTCTGGAACACCCCGAGGAAACCGTTCACCTGTACTAAAAAAATCATAGGTCAAGGTCTCTGCGACCTCACATCCCATTCTCGTCAACATATTTTATCCACAAGCGCCTGGATGGAATTCCATTAAAACCTTTGCTTAGATTCAACGATGTGTTCCCATAACACAATGTGGGAGTGGGACCATATTTCACATGTGGTTAGGCACTGAATTGGTGACACTGATCTTAGGTGTCCACCACGAAACTGTGGTGATTATAAAGATGTTCTGTGCTGCCGGGTTGGAGATGTGTGTGAAGCAGCCATGTTTCAGAATTTCTAGCTTCTTTGCAGCAGCAGCCACATGTAAAGTATTGTCCTCTGTCATGACTACAGCATTGTGTTGTATCAGAATCAGCTTTAATTGGCCAAGAATGTGAACTCATAGAAGCAGTTTTGACACTAACACAGTAGACATACAGCAGAACAACAAAGGTTAACGAAGTCAAGTCAGATCATTCATCTGTGTATCATAGATCAATAAATACACATAATAAATCTTATTTAATTCATTCAAAGTCGTCAATACATATTATATGAGTTTGGACAGACATGGTAAATTACAACTTGTCTGGTCAGAGCAGAGACAGTGGTTCTAGCTCATTAGCTCATTCACTGCCATGTTGAAACTTCCTGTTGCTGTCATGGTTACACCCAGGCAGTTATAATTCATACTGGGCTCAATGATTTGATTAGTTATGGTGAACTGGTACTTGTGTTCCCGACATCTGGGGCGCTTTAAAAAAAAATCATAGTATCAGTTTACTGCAATTTACTGTCAGGGCCCAGTTCTGACTGTATTTCTCTACCGTGTCCAACTGTAGTTGTGATCCCTTTTTAACCAACAGAGATTTCTATACATGAACATTGCTGTTTAAATGACTCAAACAGATCCTGGTTAGATTTTGATGTTTCATGAGGAAACATTTACTGACGACTTTGATTCTGAAGAGAATATCAAATAAG